CTATGAGCAAGAAGCCTCATTGGTGACATTACCACTTAGAAATGTAGGAGGTTATTATTCCAGCTGAAAGAGGCAATGCGGGGGGCTCTGGCCTTTTCAAACCACCACCTCTGCTCCCCCAGCCCCTCACTTCTCTCCAAGACAGCGTGAGTAGTTTTCTAAAGTTGAGGCCATTCCAAGAACTAGGACTTGCATCCTCATTATTAGGGGGTAAAGTTCTTTTCTTCTTCAGACACAGTCCCCCGTACTTTCTTTTTTTTTTTTTTTTTTTTTTTTTTTTTTTTTTTTTTGGGGGAGCCACAGATCTAAGTCAACTTTATAAACCCATAATATTGTTGAGAAGCAGCAAGTTCCCTCTCTCAAAACAGTCTCCACGGACTCTGACAACTTTGTAGTGTGAAGCCACAGTACAGAGGCCCCGAGGAGCGGCTTTGCCGATGGGGGCCATTCCAGAACAGGACTCATAACAATCACATCCTTTTTGCCCGTCTCCTCTCACCCACCCATTTTTGAAAAGGATGATGAATATGTAGTAGAGGGTTCCTTGAGCAAGCACATGAAAGTTTGTACACAGAACTGCTGCAGTAAGCAGAGAAGTAAAGTTCTGCCTCCCACGTCAATACTGGGGCTGGATTTCATGACATTTGAGTATGTGTTAAAAGGAAGACAGTGTTGGCTTCTTAGCCTAAAGATACTGGGAGGAGGGAAGAAATTTGTGATGTCAACTCTGGGAAGCTTGCCTGTCTAAACTACCAGCTTCCTCCTGCCCCAATGCACCGATGCCTACAACTAATCCTCAGGGACACTAACAGCTCTCCAGCCGACTTCAGAATGACATGTCATAAGTCCCTAACAAAGCAACTTGGTCTTCTCCACCTTCTTCCCTTCCCACTAGACATCACCAAGATGTCTAGTGCAGTAACAGTGACATGGAAATGATTCACTGAAAGTGGAAAACATATGGAATGAAACTAGGTTGAAGTTGGTGGAATGATTTCTGCAGAATAGACAATTCTTACAAAATAATGATAGAACCATTTTAATTGGGTTATATATCAGATAAAGTTCTATTTTAGGTAAAATTACTAATTTCTTTCTAAAGACGCTGAAAAAATTCTTTAGTTTCAATGAGTCAAATTACTTTAACTTATTAAATTTATAGAAATTGGAGAGACTTCCCTGGTGGAGCAGTGGTTAACAATCCGCCTGCCAATGCAGGGGACACAGGTTCGAGCCCTGGTCCAGGAATATCCCACATGCCGCAGAGCAGCGAAGCCCGTGCGCCACAACTACTGAGCCCGTACTCTAGAGCCCGCAAGACACAACTACTGAGCCCACGCGCCACAACTACTGAAGCCCACGTGCCTAGAGCCTGTGCTCCGCAGCAAGATAAGCCAGTGCAATGAGAAGCCCGCGCACCGCAACAAAGAGTAGCCCCCGCTCGCTGCAACTAGAGGTAGCCCGTACTCGGCAGCGAAGACCCAAAGCAGCCAAAAATTAATTAATTAATTAATTAATTAATTAGTTAATTAAAAAAAGAAATTGGATTTCTTCTCCAAATTCAAGTCCCCTGCATCGGCAGGCGGACTCTCAACCACTGCGCCACCAGGGAAGCCCCCCCGTACTTTCTTGATTCTTGACATCATTGTGGGTTCGGTCATTTCTATCAGGACCAGTAGTGTGTGTGCTGCATTCTGTCCATACGGTGAAAGGGCCCAGGACTAACCCCGAAGGACCCCGTGGAGCCTTGGAGAATTGGATTTTAGGACAAAGCACTAGGGTGGCTATGACTGTGGTATCTCTTTTCAAACTGACCTTCCCACCCAGTCAGACCCAGGCTTCAATCTTGACTCCAGCCCACAGGCTGTGTGACCTAGAACCAGCCGCTTAGCTGCTCCAGGCCCCGCTTCACCTTCCATTGGCGGGGTTGGCCACGTGGGCCTCAGCAGGACACTGTGGTGACTGACCACGACACGAGTGGGGAGCCTCCAGACCGACCTGGTGCTCAGGGAGTGCTCGGTTGGTGGCAGCTGCTTGCTGCACCCTCTACCGCTACAAGTGCAGACTTTTCATGGAAAAGAAGATCATTGTGTTGCTACCTATAAGACACCTGATTCCATGACAGAGACCTATTGCCGCCTCCAGGAACCCTGTCCCCACACCTGAGAACCCCATGCCAGGCTGGAGGCAGCACAGAGCATGTGAGGAGGCTCATCAAGGATGCCCCAGGCCCCCGGAGACCACCCAGCTGCTGAGCGGCTGTGGTGCACCCAGAGAATGGGGGGGGATTCGGCCCAGGGTGGGAGGGATTCAAGGAGATGTACTGAGTGGATGACAAGGGAATGGAAAGCTGGGGGACCCAACCGAACTCCAGTCAGATCAGTGCATGCTGGAAGTAGTGTCATATCCCTGAGCTGATGGCACTTCGTCAGCCAGGCTGACCCCGCGAGCGCAGGGGGAGTTGTCCTCTGCACTGTAATCAGTGTGGCCCTCAGCACACACGGAGACTTTCAGCCATACACTGATGATAATAAAGAACTGACTTGAAACACTGGTGGTCTGAAAAGGCTTGGGTTTGCATTAAACCTGAGCAGTTTTGCAAAGTATCGGGTAAAAAGTGTATGAGGGAGCATATAGGGGTAGGTACTGCTGGAGTCTGGGCCACCTATAAAACCCATTTGTGTATATTCTGTATTTACTGATGCCCTGGGAGCTGTGGAATAGAATTGGTTTTCGTTAAAGCCATAACAGATGGGGGCTGTGCCGTCTGTGGTATGCTGAAGTAACATCCGTGACCAGAGGACCCTCCTTTGCACAAATTCCTATACACTTTTTTAAGATTTAGCTAAAAACTCACCTTGCCACAAAGTATTTCCTGCTTAACGCCGCCCCTCTGGCATCATTCTGGAACTCTGAGGATCCAGCACTTAGATGTTTAGTCTTAATCATTGCAAATGTTGTCTTAAAAATCTCTAACTCTGGGGCTTCCCTGGTGGCGCAGTGGTTGAGAGTCCACGTGCTGATGCAGGGGATACGGGTTTGTGCCCCGGTCCGGGAAGATCCCACGTGCCGCGGAGCGCTTGGGCCCGTGAGCCATGGCCGCTGAGCCTGTGTTTCCAGAGCCTGTGCTCCGCAACGGGAGAGGCCACAGCAGTGAGAGGCCTGCGTACCTCAAAAAAAAAAAAAAAAAAAAAAAAATCTCTAACTCTGGGTGTGTGTGTGGCTCCCCTACTCCCTCCACCCCCTTTTCTCTTTAAAATCTTTTAAATCCACCCAACTAGGGTCATTTTAGTTCAGGCCCATTTGCCCTTCACCTGGACCAGGCCCTGTCCCTGCCGGATGCCCTCCATTTCTCCACTCTGTGATCGGAGTGGTCCCTGCACAGAGCCACTCTCATCTGGCCCCCTTCTGAGACCCTTCAAAGGCTTCTGGGGCCTTCACGTGGAGGCCAGGATTCTTCACGTGGCGGCATCCTCCCCTCCGGGCCCTGCTCACCAGGGCTTACTCTCCCTCCGCCCCTCCTCTTCACTCCAGCATCAAGCCCCTCATGCCTTCCCTCCGTGCTGTTCGCTCAGAAAGAACACGCTTCCCTCTTCATCTGGCTGCCCCTCCCCACCTCCCTCAGGCCTCGAGCCCCTAGTCCTTCCCTTCCTACTCTGTTATCATTGTTTTGTTGCTGCTGCTGCTTCTGTTTGTCCCTCTGCTCCACAAGAAGGCACCTCCTGTGAGGACAGGGACTGTGTATCCCCAGGCCCTGGTGCACAAGTGGCCTGGCGCAGAGAAGCAGACGTTCAACCAGTATGATAATCAATGAATGACTCACGTAAGAGGGATTGAACAAGATAATATACCTAAAGTATTTATCATTGCGCCTGGGACATCGTTGGTCCTTATATGGTTGATTGCTTCATTGATTCATTCATCAAATTATTTATTAAGTGTCTGGCCACCCTTTAAGGGGACACAGCAGCAAACACAACGGGCATAGAAATCTCTGCCCTCGTGGGCCACGCATCCTGTGTGTGTGTTTCCCCTCTTGTCCCTTTCAGCCCTCCCGCGCGACCTTCCGCCATACCCCTCGTCTTAGGACACTGTTGCCCCCTTCTCCCCGCCCCACCTGGGACACAGGTCACCAAACTACAGCCACTCCTGTCAGAATCACCTTCGCCTGGGAGGCAGCCCGGGGGCTTTTAGTAGATGCCAGCGGCCCCTCAGGCTGCTGAAGGAGGAATCACTTCCTCTGCCCTGGCTGGAATAAACAGGTCAGGAGTAAAATTAGAAAATCAAAAGCCCGAATCCTGGTGAAATGCTGCAGTGGAAGTGCTACTTACAGGACCTCAAAACTGCACATGTTCTCACTTACCAGCCGGGACTGCAGAGAGCGGCCCGGTCGCCTGGAAGCCTTTGTAGAGCCAGGAATCACCTCCACTGCCCCCGCCGCAAAGCCGGAGCATCCCCACCGCCCCCTCCACCAGGAGGAGGAAGAGGGGGCTTGAGCTGTGCAGAGCCTCTGCTGCCCCTGGCCCTGACCAAGGCCCACCGTGGGCACTGCCTGCCCGCACAGTCAAGGCTGAGGAGCTGTGAAGGGAGGTCGTCACCTCCACGGTGGCGCAGCCCCGAGAGGGAAGCGTCTCAAGGAGGCCCAGCCGTCAGTATCCCAGTGGTGCCGTAGGTAGTCTTTGTTGGACGCTGTCTGTACCTGGGCGGGGCCTGTTTCCCCGCCTGAGGTTTCTCACCCCACCTTGTCCCGTCCAGGTCCCTGCTCCTCTCAGCATACTGACGTCCCTGACCAGGGCCGGTGGGGTTGTGCCCTTCCTACAGGTGATTCCCGTGTCCTCCAGAGTCATCTGGAAGCTGGATCTGTGGCCCCGGGGCTCACGGGCCCTCCGACCAGTCAGGGAAGGTGGGCTCCCTGCACCCTGCACACACACCGCGTATAAACTACTGCTGCTTTCCAATGGGGCTGTGAGATTGATTACATCATCCTGTTTTCGTTGCAGAAATTTCCAGAACTGAAATTCAAATATGTGGAAGAGGAGCAGCCCGAGGAGTTTTTTATCCCCTATGTCTGGTCCCTGGTGTACAACTCAGCGGTAGGCCTGTACTGGAACCCTCAGGACATCCAGCTGTTCACCATGGATTCCGACTGAGGACGGGACGCCGTCTCCCACCCTGACCCCCTCCAGCCAAGCAACCCTTCTAGTTATTTTCTTTCTGGGGAACAGAGGTAGACAGATTCCCTGGTGCGTCTTCTATTAAAGAGGATCACGCCGTCGTGTTTTCCTTGCACACTTGGGTTTGAAGAATTGGTGCCAGTTGGCAGTAGATCACTCAGTTTAGATTATAGTGCAAAAAAGAGGAGGGGAGTTACACAACAATAATAAATGTAGAAGCCTGCTATTTCACGTGCAATTCTATCTCTAAACCAAAAATCTAGAGATTTCCCAGGAACCTGAGCCTTAGGCATATAACACTTTACCAGTACCTACTTCTTTTTCTTCTCTTTTCCTTTCTTTTCTTTTCTTCCCCCCCCCCCCCCCGCCCCCGCATGTTCAGGATTTTTGTTTTGGTCGTGTGTGTGTGTGTGTGCGTGTGTGTGTGTGTGTGTGTGTGTGTTTCAACATTGAGAGCTATCAACCTGAAAAGATGACAAGACAGGAATTAATAAGGAAATGAAGCCGTGTGTGCATGCAGTTGCCTTTCAGAAGGCCCATGATATAAGCCTGGGCTGTTGGATATAAGCCTTTAGATCCTGGCATCTTTCCCTCAAAGAAAGAGGTGGCTCCTTCTCATGAAGCCCAGATTAGCTTTTTTGTGGATTTGGCCTCTGAGCTGTAGCTGAATTAAACTGGAGTCTAGCACAAGTTAAGTTAATCTGCTCTGTGTTAATCACTGGGAAAAGAAAAGCTTCATTTTGAAAGCAATCTTTTTTCTTCAACCAGACTAATAGGAGAAAAAGGAGACCAATTTGATTAACACAGTGTTCCGCATGTGAGTAAACACATGTTTTTCTCTCCACTTCTGACTTTGTTTAAACTCTTTGGGGCCTGTGTGATCGCAGTTGTCTCCCTGAGCTTCTCTGAGGGAAACAGCCGCTGGGGTTGCCCTGAGCAGAGCAGTGGGCACTGAGGACAGAGGGGACAGGCCTTTCGAGTCACACTCTAGGTCCATGGCCACCCCTTCACGGCCTAGTTTCACTCTCAAAGACACAAAAAGTATTTGCTTTTCTGCATAGGAAGCACATAATCCCAGGTGAGACCAACCGAGCACCCGTTTCAGCCTGCCGTTGCCTAATCTGTATAGGAGGCAGCTTCTCTCCCCTGTCCCTGTGTCCCCGGCCTGGAGGCTGGAGTCATTTTGGTTCATCACCATCTTCTGAGGGTCTGGGAGGAGACAGCTTGTGTCACACCAAGCTCTGGGAAAGGCTGAAAGCATGACGTGTCAGTGCACGTCCGTGTGGTTTCCGCTCGTGAAAAGCCTGGCTGCTTCATCCCCTCAGCAGCCGCTGAGGTCGGCCAGGCGGTTACATTTTCATCAGGACAGGGGCTGAGACCGAAGCTCCCTGCGGCTGACTGACTGAGGAAGGGCCATCGCTGGTGGGTGGACCCAGGAGGCACGTGCGGCATGCCCACTGCTTCCTCGGCCTCAGGCCTCTGACGTGTCTCCACGAGTGGCTGGGGACTCTGGTACTTGACTAAAGGTCGCACAGACAGGGCCCCAGACCTGCAGACGAGCCATGTGAAGCGCTTCTGCTTAGTCTGGCTCGTGGGGAGAGGCAGTTTGAAGGTGGAAGGAGGAATCCTCCAGTCAGAAGGGGAAATGATTGGATTATCATTTCAGGTAGCAATTATTTTTATTTCCTATATGGGAACGTGATATATAGCTTTAATTTGTTTCCAAAGCACTTTGATCTGCTTTCCTGCATTTAAACCAAAACACAATTTTTAAAGGGTCACATGGAGCAGCTGAGCCCCTGGTAGGACCCCAGAACTAAGAGTCAGTGGGCTGCAGGACTGTCAGTTCTTGTGACAGGAGGAGATATGGTCCCCCAGAACTCGGTCATCGAGCGCAAACTACCAAGGAAGCCTTGATGGAGGGAGTCCTGCAGTCTCTTCCCCAGGCCACGTGACTCACCAGGTGCCCCCAAAGCCCCGTTCTCTGGCAGTGTCCTCTCCCTCCCTCCCTGCCACTTTTAATTAAGCGCACGGTAGAAGTGCTCGCTGGCCTAAAAGCTCAGCTGGGGCTACAGCGTCGGAGGAGGTGTGTGAGTACACACTCCCAGACACCACTGCATCACCGCTTCCGCTCTGCAAATCCGCCACGAGTCTCCTCTTTATTTTTGTGGAAGATTTATTACATGACAATAAATTTAAATGATAAACTTGAATTATGCTTGCATTAATTTGCTTAGAAATTGTTTGGTTTTCCACAAAGTAAAAATGTGTAGAATGAGGCAGTACAGGAGCATCATGTGTTTGAATGTAAATTAACATCTGATTTTACCCAAGATACAGAGCTGTTATTGCAACGTGTCATCTCTTCAACAAAGGGTTCTGTCATAATATTTATTTTTAAAAGAATTTGCCCCTTTCAATAGCACCTTTCCTATTGAGAGTTCAAGGCACTGTGCAAAAAAACTTCAGAATTAGAACTCTGGTTCCCACATTCACCCACTGAGGCTGGTGTCATAGGATCTGTAAACAACAGCCTCGCAAGGTTGGCATCACAGGATGGCCAACCATTCAACAGTGCAGATGGAAGCAAGGCTGTGGAGCAGCTCAAGGACAAAGACAGAGAAAGGAAAGAAAAGAAGATCCCCGGAGCACAGAAAATACCCTGCACACACAGTCCTCTCCTTCGGAAGGAAATCGCAGGAACCGTAGAAGACAGAGAGGAAAGAACATGGGACCAGTGTCAATCAGAGCACGCAGTAGCTTCCTCCAGCTTGTTTAGGGCACCCCCAAGAGGAACGTTTAGTGGGGGGTGCTTTTAGGCCCTAAATTTCTCAATATATCATTCTTTAGGCAACATACTGCCCTGTAGGTTCTGTGGAGCCAGGGTTTTGCGTTAGACGTTATAGCTCTCTACATAACTGAGTCACTGCTCTCCAGAGCCATAAATTAGAGTTGTGGTACTTTCTGATACTTTATAAGCTTGAGTTTGCAAAGTCAACCCTTTGGTCTCTTAATCTCCTCCTAAGCACTATGCCTGCAGTTTCTGTAGCTGCCATTTGGTATTAGGGGCTGATCCCTGGGCATACTGACACCAAATTCAGGGCTATTCCAGTGTCCTACGTCGCTTCCAGGAGTCAAGGAGCTTCTAGTCTCTGACAAAGAGCCATGCTTCCTCTAAATATGACACAGCTGAGGAATGGATTATAGCACAAGCCACAGCAAATAATGCATTTTTATTTTTTAAGAATTCAAAGCATAAAATTTGATCTCATTAGGGTACGTCCGTTTGGGATCTCCCACCCAAAGCCAGGAAGATTCATCAGGAGCTCCCCACCCGCTTGGTCAGGTCATGTATGGCAACCCCTACCGTCCTGACTTCACAAAGCTATCAAAAGTGCCAGCTACTCAGACACAGCCTCTGGAAGTAGCAGAAGCTCCCCTCCAGAAGGAAAGCAGTCTCATATGACTAACCAGGTAATGATTCACCATTCTGTTGGCTCTGGGCTGACTGCAACAAAATCTTACAATATTTCGGCCAGATTTCCAAGTTCCCCTTAGCTGGAGGGTTGGTTTGGATTACCTGGTGCTCCATTAATATCAGCAGACTATCTTTCATGGATACTGGGACCCAGCTTCTAAATCACCTCAGTCACCGAATGTGGATTGAGGTGAAACCAGATTACTAGTGCCCCCGGTGCTTAGCAAATGTATGTTCTCTCTGGAGGACATGAAATGTTACGGACTGAATGTATCCTCCAAATTTCACGTATTGAGCCCTAACCCCCAGTGTGATGGTATGAGTAGGTAGAGCCTTTGGGAAGTAATTAGGTTTAGATGAGGTCATGATGGTGGAGCCCCATGATGAGATTAGTGCCCTTATAAGAAGAGACATGAGAGAAATCTTTCTCTCCAACATGTGGAGACACAGCGAAGAGACCACTGTTCATAAGCCAGGAGGAAAGCCCTCACCAGGAATGTAATCAACCAGCACCTTAATCTTGGACTTTCCAACCTTTTCATTACTTTTCAGAACTGAGAAATCAATGTCTCTTGTTTAAGCCACCCAGTCTATATAGTATTTTGTTATAACAGCTCAAGCTGACTTAAGACAGGAGCACAGCCCAAGGCCTCAAATTATTTCTGTTACAATCAAATATCCAGGTATATGAGAAGACCAAATAATATAAATTACATGAATTAAAACCAGAGGGAAGGGCTTTCCTGGTGGCACAGTGGTTGAGAGTCGGCCTGCCGATGCAGGGGACACGGGTTCATGCCCCGGTCCAGGAAGATCCCACATGCCGCGGAGCAGCTGGGCCCGTGAGCCATGGCCACTGAGCCTGCGCATCCGGAGCCTGTGCTCCGCAACGGGAGAGGCCACAACAGTGAGAGGCCTGCGTACAGCAAAAAAAAAAAAGAAACCCACAGTCTCCCCAGATGTCTCACAGAATTTGAAACACCTATGCTTTCTGTGTTAAAGGAAAAAAAGCACGTGCCCAAGAATTTCAGAGAATTAGAAACAATAAAAGGGACCAAATGGAAATTCTAGAACTGAAAAATGTAACAAAAATGCAGAATAATTCAGTGGATGGGCTCAAGAAGAGGTGAAAAGTCAAAGTTATAGAAAATCAAGTTACAGAAAATTTCAACAACGCAATTAGAAAACTTACAATTCTATAACTTGAGTAAGGTGAAAAGTCAGAGCAAAACCAGAATCAAAAAGATAGGGCTTCCCTGGTGGTGCAGGGGTTAAGAGTCCACCTGCCAATGCAGGGGAAACGGGTTCAAGCCCAGGTCTGGGAAGATCCCACATGCCCCAGAGCAACTAAGCCCATGCACCACAACTACTGAGCCTGTGCTCTAGAGCCCATGAGCCACAACTACTGAGCCTGTGAGCCACAATTACTGAGCCCGCGTGCCACAACTAATGAAGCCTGCACGCGTAGAGCCCGTGGTCCACAACAAGAGAAGTCCCTGCTCGCCGCAACTAGAGAAAGCCCACGTGCAGCAACAAAGACCCACTGCAGCCAAAAATAAATAAATTTTAAAAAGATAGCAAATAGAGGGTTAAGAGACACGAAGGATACAGTGAGGATATCAAAAGCGTAAAAGAGTGGGATAGTTAAATAAATATTGGCTGAGAACTTTTCCAAAACTCATGAAAGATATCAAACCATAAATTCAAGAAGCCCCAACAAATCGCAAATGGGATAAATAAAACACAATCC